CCCAGCCCCCGCACGGGGAAGAGCTTCTGCCTCAGAGCTCATCTCAGTGTCCCCTCTGCCACTTCAAAGCCATTCCCCCTTGTTCTCTACCTACATGCCCTTGTAAAAAGCCCCTCTCCAGACTAATGGTGCAGGTAATGGTGCAGTTACTTTTCTAAATATACATGATCTCTGAACATTGGTCCTGCAGGACAAAAAAGTTTCACACTCAGGAAACATCTTGTTTCCCATCAATCTTTAATCCAGCTTATCTTTGAAGTGATGACACACTCAGCAGGTCACAACCGCACTCTGCTATCTGGGTGGCTCCAGAACAGCCCAACCTCTCTCAGCTCCTCTGGGATGGCAAGAAGAATTGGATGAGCCAGCACAGAGTAAGCAGCATCCTGGAGACTACACAAGCTACCACCAACTCAGGCCAAACAGCACCCAAAATAATGGATGGTTCCTCCTGCCTGCACCCAAACAGGTTTATTGCTGCTGGTCTTGGACCCAGCTTCTTCCTTTGCTGCTATTTCTTTCACTTCTCTTTTCTTCCACAAGACAACCCAGACAGGATCTTCCACCAAGAGCCACACACACTTTTCCAACACCAGAAAGCAGGAAGATGAGTCTGACAATGGTGGCAGCTGCTTACAGAGGAAAAGGAAAAGGACCAGATAGGTGTGATGGAAGAGGATAAAAGAGGAGCACCAGCCCATCAGAGTGCACTCTTAAGACCACCACACCGATATCTGCAGCTGGTGATCAAGCAGATACCCTGCTTCATGCTCTTCACAACCTTTTAGTAGCTTTGCTTTTCTTTAACTCTCATGCTCTGAAATTAATTGGAAATAATCACACCAAAATAACCACCGTGGCCTTCTCGAGTCTATTAATACTTGGTGCTAAGGCAACACCACCGAGCTACCTAGCAACACAACTGCACACTCACCCCACTGACTTCAGCAAGTCCTTCTCTTCCCATCCAAGTTCTGTCTCCAGAGTGTGTTGAAAACAGTTGAATAAATGTAAATTTAACTAAAGGACTGCCCCCAGACTGCACTGGGGGTCTCACAGCACTGGAAGGGAGCAGTCCTGCATACAGAACCCTTTCATTTAAAGATGTTTATGGGCCCATTCCCAGTTCCCATCTCTGGCAAGTTTTCATCATTCCATTCAAACACTGGCACAGGGTGCCCAGAGAAGCTGTGGCTGCCCCATCCCTGGCAGTGTGCAAGGGCAGGTTGGACACAGGGGCTTGGAGCAACCTGCTCTAGTGGAAGGTGTCCCTGCCCGTGGCAGGGGTTGGAACTGGATGAATGAGCCAGGTTAAATCATCCCCCATAGAGGTCCACACAAAAAGCCTGAAACACCATAAAAATCCCATTTTTATCCTACAAAATACAACTTTAAGTGCTCAGACCTTCCCAAGTGATGGTGTTTCTCTCCCTCTCTGTGCTTGCAGCACATTCTCTTTAGCTTACTCTCCTGGGCTATGTGCCAATAATAAGGAACAACTCCAATATAGTTTGCTCAAAAATAATATCATTTACTCTTCCAAGAGCTCTGTAAAGAAAAAATCCACACACCACAGAAAACCCTACGAGAGGTGCTCAGAATTTAGCCCTGAAAAATACCCATTTTGGAGCCAAATGTCCTCAGCTCTCGTGATCTTTCAGTCAGACAACAAAAAAGTCAAATGCTTTCAAAAATAACTTTCAACCTCAAAGTTGTTTTTTCTAAATGGGAAATTGGGAATGCTCAGCAGGCCAGACCATGTAAATAAATACATTCCTTGTTCCAACAGGCTAGTTGGAACAGACGGTAGCATAGCAACCAGGGAAATACCAGATAAATAGCGGTCAGGCAGTAAGAGCCGAGGTAGGAAAGAAACCACCACACTCACAGACACACTCCTTTGCCCTGTGCTGAAGGAGGAGTGTAGCAGGAGGGAAACTCACCGCCCGGACACACAGACCCCAAGTAACCCTGGAACAATGAACTCCTGTCCTGCCAGGGCTGGGTAAGCAGCTCTGTTCTTCCAGCCAGGAAGGAACCAACTCCCTTTCCAAATACTGCTCTTGCAAAGGCAACTCATCCTCTTTGGAGAGAGGAACAGGAATAGAAAGAGCCTCACACCACACCCTCCGCAGGAGCCTTTCTATCCCTGTGCTTTTTAGCGCTGCATGTGGGACAAGGAACAGTGCTCTGTGCTTGTTTTCACATGTCATTCCTGCACACGCCTGCGTGGGAGCAGCACAAGAGCACTGTTTACCCACAGGCCACTCACAGGTGAGGAGAAACTTCATAGAAGCTGACGCCACGGTATCGCTCCATGTTCTGCTTGCTGTAGATTTCCAGTTCCTTGTATGGATTCACAGACACCAGAACTGAGCCAATGTACGTCTGGAAAAGAGAATGTGAGAAAGAGAGGTTACAGAAGGGCTGGCTGCAGATGGTCCAAGAGACCAGAGTGCTCTGAGGGCCGGGTGTTGTTGACAAGGGCTGCCTGCCCCTGTGTGCTGGGGATGCTGCTGAGGGCTTCCAAAGAGGCCAAAGGTGCTGAAGAAGTGACCTCTTAGCGCAGTGAGAATGACACTGCAGGAGTTACACTAGACATGTTATCCTTGCTGGATAAATAACACCTGCAAATGGGTTTAGTGCTTATACCAGGCAGAAACAGTGGATTATTTCTGATATATTGTTCAGGACTGAGTTCAAGCCTGGGGTTGCTGAAAGCACATCCCAGAGTGAATTTATGAGACAGAAGAACGTGGTGTGAGTTGGATTTTCAGTGCTGTAAATGCCAGCAGACCTCAGCTAGAGCACTGCAGCAAGTCCCTACATCTGTTAACATGACAATGACCCCCACTACTTCTGACACAAGCAACCACGGTCTGGTCAAGCTGATCCCACCACCTCCAAATCCAACTGCAGAGCAAAGCTACGGTACATCCTCTGCAGCAAACACCCCGACGCAGGTCACTGAGGGGCACCCTGGTGTCTGTCACTCTGCTACTCACATAGATCAGATTCTCCTTGAAGCGCTTCCGCAGGTTCTCAATGAATGCAGCTTCACTGGTGAAGTTCTCGAGCAGGACAAAGTCCTGGACCCCCACCCGGTCACGGGCGGTCAGAGCACTCTCCATGGTCAACCGGATGCCGTTGGCCCCCGCTCCCTGCAACCAAAGCAGAGCAAGGTTGGGATACCCATGGTTTTAGCTGCAGCTCGCCAAGGCCACAAGACCCATAGACCACAGTTACCCATGGACAACCTATAAGTAGGAGAGGAAGTTAGAAGAACCCCACTACTACTCCATGTTGAGCTACTACATGGTGAAAATGCTGGTCACTGTATACTAACACTTTCTCAGTTGGTTTCTACTACTTGCTTTGATGGAAAAGTTATTGCTAAATTTCTAATAACTTTAAATCAGTCATTGCATGAGGAGAATAAAACTTGGATTTCCTTTAGCAGGAGTGGGACTGAAATGTGTTCTCTCTGCTTTTCTCTCTCACTTCATAACGGGAAGTCGTTTCGAGGTGAGGAATCTTTTATGACTAATGGTGATTCATCTCATGAGCAAACAGCTTCACGTTGCTGACCAAGATAAAAGCTTTAGCAAAATACCCAATGGGAAAACTCAGAACGAATGAGAAATGGGCACTTCTGCATCCCATGCCTCTGAATCTAGGCTGTGACACTAACATTTATCCCACGCATCAAGCAGCTTCTCCTCCCTGGCCCTCTTTTAAAGGTTACATTTTCAACACAACATGGTTCAGATACAACCACCTCTGCATGACACAGGTCTGCTGACTCCTTACTCCGCTCAGCCTCACCTACTAAAACAGGGAGAGGAAATGTGCGCCAAGTGACTCAGTTGCTGCTCGCAGGGAACATTTCTACACAGCCGATAGATGATGTACAAGGCAGAGAAGAGACGCTCCAGGAATCAGAGACAGGAGATCCAACATATTAAACCATTTGCCTCCCATCTGTGCTGAAGGATCTGCATTTCCTTATCATATTCTTAAATCCCTCTTCTTTTGCAAACTCCTCACAGCAATCACCCTTCTCCTAAATCA